GCTCTTTCAGCAAGCGGACCTGACCTAGGGTGGATTTTATACTGGGTTTTTTAGGAATTTGGAAGACACAACTTTAAAATTCGGTTTAATTCGGTTTTAAGGGGGGGATTGTATATATGCTTTGGTTTTAAATATGTTGTGCGCCGCCCTGAGTCCCGCAGGGAGAAGGGCGGCATATAAATTAAATTAAATAAATAAAATAAATAAATAAACTATAGTTCTTGGTCTAGGACTATAGTCTAGTCCAGGAGCCGTGGTGGTGCAGTGGTTATAATGCAGTATTGCAAGCTAATTCAGCTCACCGCCACGAGTTCGATCCTGACCAGCTCAAGGTTGACTTAGCCTTCCATCCTTCTGAGGTCGGTAAAAGGACGACTCAGATTGTTGAGGGCAATATGCTGACTCTGTAAGCCGCTTAGAAGGGGCTGTAAAGTATTATGAAGCAGTATATAAGTCTAAGTGCTATTGCTTTCAGTTCACTTAATTGAGCTATATCTTTTCCAGAATTATTTCTTGATTAGTCTGTTTCGGTTGTCTATAATCAGGATAGTGGGATACTGTATGCTTCACAATTCCTTCTTTGCAGCCAAAGGAACTTTAGTAAGGAACTGTTTATTGATTTTTTTATGCTGTTTTGCAGTTACTAAAAAGATATATTCCATTTGTATGTGCCAAATCTCCCACTATGAAAGGAACTCTGTTATCTACCCTTATCAGAGCCATTCTGTAATTACAGAGCCTTTATCCATTATCTTATTGATTCTGGACAGCTTGTTATCGTCTGTATGCTTAGATTCATCTTCTAGGAAGATGGGTGAATATCTTTTACCTATGGGTTATTCCTCCTTTTGATATTGTTATATATTGCTTTAATTATGCAATTAATTGTTGGACTATAGGCTTCTCAAGATGAGTTATGATTAGAATGGCATAGAAACCAAATAAAATATTGTTGTCTTCCCAGAAGATGAATCTAAGCGTACAGACGAACAAGCTGTCCAGAATCAATAGTGGGAGATTTGGCACATACAAATGCCTGCTATTGCTTGTCCGGCTTGTCTGATATCAGGGGAAATGCTGTTCCAGAAAAGATGTAGTGGGGGAGCATGACTAAGGAGGATGGGTTTGAGATCCCTGCAGATGACACTCCCTAAGGGTTAGGATCCAGAGAAACCCTTCCCTCAGAATAGAAAGACGGTTAAGAGTAGATAGTGCCATGGATACCTAGGTCTCAGAAGAGGCAAGGTTTTAAAGGTGACAAACAACAACCTAGAAGCATACTGGTAATAAGTACAACTGTTAAAGGAATTATATAGGGAAACCGAGTGATGCCCATAACATATTTAAGCCACAGTTCTAGACTTCCAAGTGTTTTTCAAAGTCAGCCCGATGGAGTGTGTACTGCAATAGTCCAAACAAATAGTGAAACAGTCCGTTTTTTAAAATACATAATAGCTGACTCACTGCTCCCTTTGAAAAGTATTTATACTTCTTAGAATTGAAACTAAGACTAGTTTTTCCATTGCCTGGTTTTGCTGTTTGCTTCCATTATATGTTGTTTTTATTATTTTTGGTGTACTATGAGCTTTCCAGAGCGTTTTGGAGTTGGGTGGCATCAAATCAATCAGTAAAACTGAAGCTTGGAACCAAGGGCCATTTGATAATTGTTCAGAATTTGCAACCATAAAGCCATCCAAACACTGCCCACTGGTTCTTCTGTCTGGGGAGAAGAGAGCTCTAATGACCATAAAACACTTCACTTGATTTCATTGGTCAATGGTCATTTTTACAATTAACATCTACTTCTATAAAGATAAAGATATACATTACACCAGGTTATATATATATATTATACCGGACTAAGTATTATACGTTCTCATGAATTTCTAGAAATTTGGGACGATTTTGTTTACAAGTTAGTCTTTCCCTCTTTCTACTATTGTGTCTGTGTGTAAAATAGAGCCAATCTCACCAGTTGAGAAACCTTGCCAATAGAGGGAGATAAAACAAAGGAGGAGTTTCTCGTTTCTTAACTTAGTAGGATGTTGAAGGAAAGCCCTCTATTTACCAGACACTTGGTAAAAGTGTTCTTCAACAGCAGGAGGTAAGAAAATCAGCATACAGATTAACTGTTTATTTATGTGGAGCAAGACTCCAATTTAGGAGTTTAAGCATAATACCAAAGTCTTAGACATTCAAATATTCAAGAAGGATTAATGTTTAGAGTTAGAAGAACAGTTCTAATTCCTATCCCCTGTTACTACCCCAAAGAGTATGACAGTCTCTAATTCAGGAGTGTCAAACTGCCGGCCTGCGGGCCGGATGCATCATGCCGAAACCATGCCCAACCCATTGCCAGCAATGGAAAAAAGTCGTGATACATCACGTCGCGTCGCGACACATCACGTGACATGAGTTTGACACCCCTGC